GGTGGCGGTTGCGGGCCATGCGCAGCGGGGGAGGGGCCTGGGAGAAGAGGTGCTGGCGGATGTTGGCGATGCGGTTGGCGTACTCTGGCGTGCCGCCGCCGGAGGCGCCCTTGCGGGAGGCGGCCTTGGAGGCGGCCTTGGAGGCGGCCTTGCGGGCGGCGAGCGGCGCCGAGGTGGAGAGGGCGCGGGCGGTGCTTGGTGTTGCGACGGGGGCGAGGGATGTGAGGGTCGGGCGGAGGCCGCGGAGAGAGATGAGGGAAGCCATTTTGTTCGTCTATGGAGGAATTTGGTTTCTATCGGCGAGGGCTTTTTTTCGTCGGGGTAGAAGAGGGGTATTGGAACCTCGAGGACGGAATGGAGGGAGGTCAACGTCTTGCTCTCTTGCGCGGCGGTTCCCTGGCGGCGTCCTTGTCTTCCGGTCTCCTTCTCCGACGATCTGTCGTGACGACGGCGGTCGTCTCAGTTCGGCTGGGTCTTTCCAGCAGCGGCGCGGAGAGTTCGACGTCGGTTTCGGGCGGGAGCTCGTGTCGCGCCCTGATGCTCTCGTACGCGGCTAGGACCTCGTCGGGGATCGGGACGGGTTCGGTGTCGAAGCCGTTTGGGTCTGAGTCGGCGGGGAAAAGCGGGTGTGGATTGGGCCTTGAGAGGACGCCGGCGGCAGGGCGTAGGTGGCCGGTATAGGATGCGTAGAAGGCGTGGATTGACTACAGGAGAGGAGAAAGTACGTCAGTTCCTCGATCACCAGATTTGGTCGTTGGAGGTTTGGGAAATTTTGGACGGGCGACGTGTGGAAGTGGAGGATGGTTTATCCGGGGCCGCCTGGGCGGGGGAAGCTGAGCTGGACCCTTGCAGGGCCGCATGGACACCCTCCCCTGACATGAGCCCGGTCCGAGCTCGAGCTCAAGTTCGGGATCGACGGGCTCGCCCGCCTTGAAACGGACGGGAATTCATGACGACGAAGATGGGATGGAGTCGGGACATACCTTGTCGATGAGGATACCTTCCCTGTACACCAGCGCGCGGCCGTACTCCCCCTCCTTGAACACCATATCCCGCGCCCGGCGGTCCTCGTCCTGGACGTGCAGCTTCGCGATGCGCAGCAGCGCCTCGCATACCGAGGTGCCCTCCGTCCTGTCCGAGGTTAGGACGTCGAGGAGGGGCAGGAGCGTCGTCCAGAGGCGGCGCGCCCGCCGCGTCTTCTCGGTCGGCCGGCGGCACCCTTTTTCCAGGCACGCTGCGCAGACGAGCCAGGCGAGCTCCCGCACCAGCGGGCTGCTCCGGAGGAAGTGCATGTACGGCGCCGCCGCCGCCGGGGCGGCGGACATGCCCCTGAACTTGGCTCGCCAGCAGGTCCGTATCGTGCGGAACACCGTTTCGCCGAGGTCGTCGACCTCGCCCATCATCCTGGCGCACTCGACGGGGATGAGGGACGGGTTCTCGGGGAAGAAGGCGAGGAGGACGACGAGCTGCGCGAGGACTCGCGGCAAGAGGAGCTGCAAGCGCAGCAGGTCCTCCCCGGGTCTGCGCGGGACGCGGCCGCGGTAGGTGAAGTTGCGTTCGTCCGCGGGGCGGAACGCCGGTCGGGGGTCGTAGGAGAAGACGGGGTCGCCCGGGCAGTGGCCGAGGAAGTATTCCGTGTTGGCGAGGGACGTGGCGACCTCGAGTGTCGTCTCACTTTCGTCATTGAGGTTCGTCTCAAGCGGCCGCAAGTTGAGGTTCAACTCTTTGACAGTCCCCTTCTCCTCGTCCTCCGAATCCTCCGACTTGGAGGGGACGGACATGTCGAGGGCGAAGGAAATGGGGTCCCAGAAGCCCCCGCGGAGCCTCTCCCGCTCCCGCTCCTCCTCGGCGAGATTTGCCCTCCGGGCCGCGAGGCGCAGAGCCGTGGGCTTGAGGAGCTGCTCCTCGGCCCTCCAGTGAGGGTTCACATCCGGCGGCAGGCAGTCGACGACGAGGCCGATGCCGTCCCAGAGGCGCAGGATGGCGTCCCCGACGCCCGCGCGGCGCTCCTCGGACGCCCTGAGGGCCGCGATGGCGTCGGCGCACTGCTCGTCGATCTGGGCCGGGGACGCCTGGAAGACGGCCCGGAGGCCGTGGTCGTCGAGAAACCTGTTCCAGGACCGGTGGAGGGCGGCGTCGCCGGGGGGCGTGTTGGAGGGGCCTGGGAGACCTAGGCAGGACATTTTCCAAAGCGCCTTGGGGGATGATTTGGTAAGACGATTGAAAATTTCCGTCCGCTCGTGGGTGTGATATTTTTTCCCCACCCTTTTGCTTTGCTTCTTTTCTAATTAGATTTGTTCTTCATGGCGACGACTGGGCTGGGTTCATGACACAGGGGGGTGGCTTTTCGGAGATGCCTCGAGGTTATCTAACTTTGGTTGATCCAACATAGTTGAGGACGGATTGGTTCGCCCAATCGCGGTGCTGGGAGGCGTCAATTCGAAAACTGGTTGAACCATTCCCACCCCCCTCGCGCCTGTTACGGTCACTATCCTGCCGTGCTTCCAACTCCCCGGGTATCCGACAGTCCAAGGCAAGCTCTGTCGGCCGCCCTTCGACTTCATCCATGGAGCATTTCCAAAGCTACTCGTCATTCCATGCTGGCTGATACAATCAAAGAGTGAAAGAAGACAAAATGGGGAATGCTTCGGCGTCGACACTCTGCTGTGCATGCTACTTCGCGATGGCTTCAGCGGCCCTGGGGGAGGGTATTTTCCAATCCTTTATTCTTTTCCCAGTTACTTCTTTGTCGGTTAAAAGACCCATCAACCCTTTCGTTGATAAAAACTCTCTTTGGGCTACGCAGGTCAACGTTAGAAGACGAATTCAACACCATTCACTGGCGAGCTTGAGCTCCCTAGCCGTTTTTCCTCCTCAAAAAAGACTGGAGATACAAAGGAGGCATTCGTGCCTCTCAAAGACCTGAATCAAGTCGCCGGGGTCGGTGGACACCCCCCGCCTGGCTGGGGCCCGTTCCAGCAGTGGCATCATTAAGGCCGATAAATTCCGACTCGCGCATCTGCGCTTGTTGTGTAAAACCCCCTTGGGTTGTTGCTGCCCCCGCGGATCCACCATACGCATGAGGAGCTCCGGCTCAGGAAGTCGTGGATCTCCCGACACAAGAGCCCTCTTCCATGTCCCTCCCCTTCCCTCTGATCATGCAAACAAAAAGGGTTCGACTACCCTGAAAAGTCAATGCTCCCTCTGTCCTCCCCCTTGGTATAACCTAAATCTTAGGAGCTTGGGGCAGCGGATGCGAATTATTTCCATGCCGCAGACCTTAAAAGGACAACTGACACGCCCCCCCCCCCCCCCCCCCTCTCCCCATTGCGACATCCGGCCGATATCGTTCCGGTTCAACAAGCACAAAAGAACGGCCACACATCATGTCCTTCCGCGTCACCTCGGACGTTGACCGTCCCAAGAATGTCGAGGAGTTCATGGCCGACATGACGGGCGGCAACATGGCGGTGGTGCGATGGAAGCACACGCCGGAAGGCACGGCGGCTTTTGACGACGCCGCCGCGTTCGGGACCATCCGCAGCGCGCTCCTGGAGCAGAACAACGATCCGCGGCGGCTGCGCCGGGTCGCCGTCGAGATCGCGGCGCTGCTGCCGCCGGCGCACCGGCCCTCGGATGATGATGACGACGACGTGCTGGGCTCGCTGTGGAGGCTGTTCGTCTCGCTGGCGCAGCAGACGCCGTCGGGGAACCTCGCGATGCTGGACCTGGTCGTCATCCTCGACCACCTATCCTCGTCGCCCAAGACGACGGCCACGGTCACGGTGGTGAGCAGAGCTGCGTCGATGCGTGAGACGTTTGGCTGATGACCCCTTCTTTTTGTAGGATGGCTTCGAGCAGTTGAGCCGTCTCCATGGCCTGAACCAGAGCATCAGGGACAGTATGGTTTGTAAGTCACTAATCCCCCATCCCCCCACCCGGGCCGTTATCCCACCGCACAAACGGGTGTGTACGAAAAGAAAAAAAGCTTACCGTCCGCTCGAAGCCCCTTACCAGTCCCCGAGCAGGGCCGACACGCTCGCCCGCTGGGTCGGCCTCAACGCCTTCGCCGCCCTTCTCTGGTCCTACAACCTCATCGACGGCCGCGACTTCGCCGTCCGGCAGCTCCGCGCCGCCTTCGAGGATCGCCGCTCCTCGGATGCCGGGGACCGGGACGGCGCCGACGCGCGGCTGATGGCTGCGGCGCAGTGGGCGGTGCACTCCTGCCAGCGGCTGTATCACCTCTCCGTGACGTCGGAGGGGGGAGGAGGCGGGCCCGACGGCAACGGCAACGGCAACGGCAACGGGAAGGGGGCGGACGCCGAGAGGTGGAAGCCCGGGCCGAGGTTCAGGGGCCGCGCGGGGTTCTCGTTCAGGAGGTGGGAGTTCTGGCAGCAGGCGTTCGAGGAGGCGGACGAGTTCGGGAACGGGGGCATCGAGGCCAAGGTGGAGGCGCGGGCGGCGGCGGGGGTGATGGAGAAGGTTCTCTATGCCGGGTTCGAGGGGTAGGTAGCGGAAGGGGGGCTCGTCGATGCCAGCGTCGGGAACGGTGAAGGGAGAGAGGCGAACGAAAAGTTTTTTTTCTTTATTTTCTTTTTTTACTTGGAGTCGGTCGAACGATGCCAACCAAGCTTGCATTTGGAGCAAACAAGCAAGAAAGACGCCAACGGGGTCAAGAATGAAGCAAAGCAGAACGTACACGAGTCTAGCTTTCTTTCCAGCAGCTGTGTAGGCCCCCTTTCAACACCTCGATCTGTCCAACACTCTATCTCGGTCTGTTCAGCGCAAGGGACGCAAGCAACGCTCGAATCGGCTGTTGAGAGTAGGTTCTGAAGCATTTTTGGCCAGCACTACAGCATGGGAGATTTGAGTATCAACGAGGTAGGTGTACGTAATGAATTCATAACTCGTGACATGGGCTTTCGTGGACACATGTCTCTCAAATCTTCCAATTACCGCGCACCTGACTTTCAAGCCTCGACGCGCACCACTTTGTAACACGCGCAAGCTCCGGGCGAGACCGTCAGGCAGGGCCTCTCACATACCTCTATTGTCTAGTCCCATGTCACCCGGCTGGATGCTGCCGAGTCCCGTGACGAGAATCAATATCAAGGAAATGGTATCATGAACGCTGCTTCATATTCTCCTCATGTCTCTTGATAGTCTTCGCAGCCGACCAAACCGACCCAATCATGCCGGACTGCCTAGGATCACGTCATCCATATCCAATCCCCCACCCCCCTTTTTCCCCGTATGTGCCAAGTCGTCCGGGTCCTCATACCATCGTTTCACTCTCAATCCGAACCGAGCCTCCAGAGGCCGTCACCGAGGAAGTGCGCCTCCTCCACGACGGGCCCCTTGCCCTTGTCCTTGACCTCCTTGGTGCCGGCGACCAGCAGGCCGACGGCGCAGGCCTCCGTCTTGCCCTCGGCCATGATGATGACGGGCTCGCCCTTCTCGAGCTCGCGGCTCCAGCGGCCCTCCTCGTCGGGGCCCTCGTCGCCGTCGCGGGGCTCGGGCAGCCGGCCGCCGGGGCTCGTCAGGCCGGGGGCCATGAGGGTGGCGCCGGACAGCACGAAGCGGATGGCGCCGCGGTCGATGCGGATGGTGGGGAAGGCCTGGGGGAAGCGGTGGACGAGGCGGAGGTGGGGCATGAGGGTAGCGTTGTCCTGCTGGTAGAAGAGGGGCTGCTGTTCGCAGACGTAGAGGGAGCAGCGGTCGGGCAGCTTCATCTGCTCGAGCGAGGCCTTCTTGGGCATGACCTCGTCGATGAAGGGGTTCAAGAGCGGGTAGCTCGCGAGCAGCGAGTTGCGGAGGGAGCGCTGGACCGAGGACTTGAGCTTCTGCTTCGGCGCCGAGGTGATGCTGCGCGGGAGGAGGGGTAGACTGTTAGCTTTTCTTCCTTCATGGCCGTGGGCTATTCTGCCGTTCAGAAGGGGGTAAGAGTAGGGCATTGATAGGGATTGGGTGCGTACTCTTTCTTGAACATTTTGGCGGTATTGAATCGACGTCGCTATGCTTGGTGGGAGGGGTATCTTCGGGAATCGATCGTCGTCAAAGTCTCGTCGCGTCGTCCGAGTCGTGGGTTGAGTGTCGTGAGTGATGGTGGGGTTGCTTGGAACGAACCTCACAGAGGAAAACTGCCCCGCAGTCGGGCGGGCGGGGCGGACCAGACATGCACCTGTGGAGGGGCAGCCGTGCTGCGGGGGTTGGGATGACCCGGAAGGGGGGGGGGGGGGGGGGGGGGGGGGACACTACAGGCACCATCACGTCACTTGGGAGGACGCAGAATCACAGGATTCGGGTTGAAGCAGATTTTGAAATATCGTATTCTGTAATTATTCATAGCTGTACTGTCATGCAAACTCTATCATAAAACCATCATCGCGTAACCCTCATCGTAGCCAGGCATTATTCAGGGACTCCGGGCCACCGTCTTCATGTCGGCTCAGCCGTGATTGACGTGAGAGACGGTGCCGTCCTCCTTGACGTGCACGTTCAGCCTGTTCGGTACGAAGTCCTTGGTGACCATCATGCCGGGCTCGATGACACGCGTCTTCTCGGGGAGGTCTCTCTTGCAGAATGTCTGAGGACGAGAGGCGGCGAGGGTTAGAGCAAGTCGGCAAACGGGAGCGGGAGCAGGAGCGGGCAGCAGCTTACCGTCTCGTTGGACTCCTCCTCGTGCAATTTCTTTCCGACCAACTTGTTGGTCCATTCCTCGGTCTTGTCACCGGAGGACTCGTTGTTGATACCGGGAACGACGAGAGGCATGGTGACGGTTTGAGCTTTGGTGATGTGATGGGGAAGGATTCGATGTGTTGGTTTCTTGGGTTGTTACTGGCGAAAGTATGTCGTGGAGTTGTCGAGCTACAATGTGGAAAGGAAATCTGAGAGGAGGGGAGGGAGGGTTTGCTGGAGATTTAATACTAAAGCAAGCGCACGGAGGGGATGGATGGGGGAGACGAGTGTGGTGCGTTGCATGATTGACGATTCTGGAAGCTGGCGCGGACCGATGACGTCGCAAGGGTGTGGGGGCGGGGGTCGTTTCCGTTGCATTTTGGGTTCCGAGCCGGCTCCCTCCCCCGACGCAAAGCGCCGGCCGGGACTATCTGACGCAGGAGGAATTGCCTCTACGTCTGAGCCGTTCCTGTTTCTCTTCAAGTTGGCTGCTGGTGTAATCGGGGGCGGGGTAACCTATGATAAGATGGCCCGGCCTGCCCTCGGTCCCGGGGCTCGTGCCGATGTGAGCCCAAATACCAGTCTCGTGAGCCACGACTAGCCATTGTGTTAGTGTTGGATCTGTTCGCAAGTACGTGGTTGAGCAACGGTGCACATCTCGCTATAACTTGCATTATGCGAACACGCTAGATCCTGACAAATGAAGGCCTATCAATAATGCCGGTCCAGACAGCAACGGCAAAGCATTAGTTGGTAGACACGATCAGCCAGCCCTCTTGTGAGTTGGAAATTTTGTGGCTGGCAACCCAAGACTCAACGGGCTTCACCTGGAGAAGAATTACCGAGCCTACTGAGCTTCTGAGGTCGAGCTCGCAACATTGTGGGAGCTCGCCATTATCATGTTGCTAGTATTGAGATTTTAGTAGGTACTCTGTAGATTCATCTGACTGGCTGTTTTGAACCGTTTCCTAGGTGATTGCACTCCATTTCCACAGCTTGAACGTCGAAAATACGAGTTGAGTAGCTGCGAAAAGCAAACATGTGTCTCTTATGATCGTCAGTAGCAGCCAAAAGAAGAAAGATGTGTCTCATGTTCGAAGTACAATGGTGATGGTGTGTTATGTAATCACGCCCCCACGTGCCGCTGCTGCATCTGTCTACGGGAAGTCCAGGACACCACGTCCTTCCTTCGTTCATTTCTTCTAGGCAGAAGAGCTGAGTTGTATCCATTGACAAGGGATTACAAGATCAAAAACCACCGACTCCAAGAACGGTCCGTCTCGGATCCCGATGAACCATCTCATCCGTGTGTGTGCTCTGCATCCAGTGGGGAAGCTGACACCGCCCCGATCCGCTGTGAGTTGACAGCAAACAGACGAACTCGACTCAGCCCAAATCCCAAATTCTTGGGGAAGAATGCTTCCTTCTGCTGCCCCCCCCCCCCCCCCCC